ATCTCCACATCTCCACATCTCCACCTCACTACCTCTCCACCTCTCCACCTCTCTACCTCTCTACCTCTCCACCTCTCCACCTCTCCACCTCTCCACCTCTCCACCTCTCCACCTCTCCACCTCCCCACCTCTCCTTCTCTCCACCTCTCCACCTTCTCAAAAATAAAAATAAACTGATGAAAGATTTTTTCTCTACTTGTTTAAATCATTTCGTCGAAGCTGAACTTTCTTAAATGAAGCACCAGCTTTTTGATTAATTTCTAACTTTGATCAGAATACATACATATAGAATTTTTATAAACGAATGCGTTTTTCTGATTCTGAATCTCTCAGTCGGAAATGTAAAGTTTTGCATAAACAAACCGAGATTGCAGTGTAGGAAATACAAAATTTCAAACTTAGTTTTTGAAAACTTATTATTAAACTTTCATCTCCATCTTTTATTTTCTGAGCTCAAAGTATTTTGAAAAGAAGTTTCAGAATAAAATTTTAAATCTCTGGACTTCTCTTTTAGTTATTCCTGTTTGGCTTATCTGTCTTATTTGTCTTCTTTGTCTTGTCTGTCTTGTTTGTCTTGTTTGTCTTGTTTGTCTTGTTTGTCTTGTTTGTCTTGTTTGTCTTGTTTGTCTTGTTTGTCTTGTTTGTCTTGTTTGTCTTTGATTGTAATTTATGCTTTATTTGATTTATTATATTTGTTGCCTCTTTTTTGGATTTTTCAGTTCTGTTGTTTGTCTTTATTTATTGTATATTTGTAGGTTTGTTAAAACTTCAGTAGTTTAAGTTTTGGTTGTAAAAATAGATATTTAATGTTAATGGAACTTTCAGTAGTTTTTGTGAGATAAAAAATCTAGTGTGGGATTTCATCAGTTTAAACGAATATTTTGAATTTTCAGCATTGAAAATTTCAATTGAACTTCAATTTTAAAAGGGGCATTTACGATTAACAACGGTACCCATTAAATTTTCTCTGATCAATGATGTATTTTTTTTTGAAAAGTGTTTAATTATCATAAATTTTTTCATATTGTTTCTAAATTAAAGATTCGCAAATTACTTTATGGAGAAACCACAATTGAAAATAACCAACTTTAAAAAGAAGATAATTGATATCTCATGTATAATTGATTAGAAAAAGCTTTTTAGGTGACAGTTTACATGGCACTCTTAAAATGAAGAGTTTCTTACAAGTACACCTACAGTCCCTTTGAATGAAATTAACCTTTCACCGATAGAAAGTTTTCAGCAAGTATATTTCAGCATAAAGCAAAAGAGATTTTTCAATAGTTTAAGCTTGTTTAAGCGGATTAAGCTTATTTGAGTAGTTCAAGCTAGATTAAATGAATTCCCCACGGATTAAGCTTAATTTTAATAGTTTAAGCTAGTTTAAGTGAACTTCCTTCAGATTAAGCTTATTTTCAATAGTTTAAGCTAATTTAAGCGGATTAAGCTTATTTTAAATCAATAAATTAGTTTCCATCTCCCAGGTTGTCTGCAGGATAAATCTACCTCGTTTTATTGAGATAATTTTCCAATCCAGAAGAGAATGTTTATGTCTAGATAAGCTGGTTTAAGAATATTTATGTCTAGATAAGCTGGTTTAGGACTGTTTATATCTAGATAAGCTGGTTTAAGAATGTTTATGGCTAGATAAGCTGGTTTAAGAATGTTTATGTCTAGATAAGCTGGTTTAGGAATGTTTATATCTAGATAAGCTGGTTTAAGAATGTTTACATCTAGATAAGCTGGTTTAAGAACATTTATGTCTAGATAAGCTGGTTTAAGAATGTTTATGTCTAGATAAGCTGGTTTAAGAATGTTTACATCTAGATAAGCTGGTTTAAGAACATTTATGTCTAGATAAGCTGGTTTAAGAATGTTTATGTCTAGATAAGCTGGTTTAAGAATGTTTATGTCTAGATAAGCTGGTTTAAGAATGGTTATGCCTGGATAAGCGGGTTTAAGAATATTTATGTCTAGATAAGCTGGTTTAAGAATGTTTATGACTAGAAAGGCTTGTTTAAGAATGTTTATGACTAGATAAGCTGGTTTAAGAATGTTTATTTCTAGATAAGCTGGTTTAAGAATGTTTATGTCTAGATAAGCTGGTTTAAGAATGATACTGGATTGCTTCGACTCCTGACTGTGGGAGATGACACGTATATTGCGGATTCCAGACTCTCTATCACTAGACCTGTGCTTAGTATGGTAAGTAGAGATGGGCATCTTTCAAAATAGTGCAGGTCGGCTTAAAAACTTCCTTTTAGATACTACTGCGCTCATTAGGGTTCGATTTATACATTTTTGTGCATTGAAAAAATATATATATATAACAGTTTACTTTTTATATATTTTATAAAATTTTTATTCTCACATAAAATCGTTATTCATAACGGAAAAACGAAAAACTAAAACGATTTTGCAGATCCATTTACTTTAACGGTTTTAAAACATTGGTAATTTTATTACGTTTTGTAAACAAAAATGTGGTTTAATAACGATACTTTTGATATTTTCTTTTTTTTCTGAGACTACAGTGTTTATCCTCATTTTAAAATTCCAATTTCTTTTTCAAGTTTGGTGAATTTTCATAACTTTTGCAAGATGTATTTCTTCAAAGAAGTTCTAAATTGAAATTTGCTTTTAATAATGATCCCGGTGAGACTTGGATAAAATAATTTAGTTAAGAAATTATTTAATTTGTTTGTTTGTTTGTTTATAGGTCGGGAAAGTTTAAATGAAAGTATATTGAGCTGAACGTGGCTTTAAAAAGTTAAATAACACTTCTCTCAAATCCTTTAAACCCTATATTATTACTTCAACTACACTAAAAAAGCCTTAAATATTTTGATAATTTTCGTAATTTTCATCAAAATTTGCTTTTTGCCACTAAATTTTGTAAATCCTAATTATCTTGAAAATAGATTGGATAGGCAAAAAAAACTTAAAAGATTTTTTTCAGAATTGGAGTTTGCAGATCGTAAGTGTTGTACTATCAGACGGTGGACTGTATATCTGTCAGAGTACAACTTATCCTCCATCTTCAATATACGTCACCTTGGCTGTTTATGGTCAGTGTACGCGATTACGTCACCTTGGTAGTTTATGGTCTGTGTACTCTATATGCTTCACCTCATGGTTGTTTATGATCAGTGTACTCTAAATGCTTCACCTTATTGTTGTTTATGGTCAGTGTACTCTATAATACGTCACCTTGGTAGTTTATGGTCAGTGTACTCTATAATACGTCACCTTGGTAGTTTATGGTCTGTGTACTCTATAATACGTCACCTCGGTAGTTTACGGTCAGTGTACTCTATAATACGTTACCTTGGTAGTTTATGGTCTGTGTACTCTATAATACGTCACCTTGGTAGTTTATGGTCAGTGTACTCTATAATACGTCACCTTGGTAGTTTATGGTCAGTGTACTCTATAATACGCCACCTTGGTAGTTTATGGTCAGTATACTCTATAATACGCCACCTTGGTAGTTTATGGCCAGTGTACTCTATAATACGCCACCTTGGTAGCTTATGACCAGTGTACTCTATAATACGTCACCTTGGTAGTTTATGGTCGGTGTACTTTATAATACGTCACCTTGGTAGTTTATGGTCAGTGTACTCTATAATTCGTCACCTTGGTAATTTATGGTCAGTGTACTCTATAATACGTTATCTTCGTAGTTTATGGTCTGTGTACTCTATAATACGTTACCTTGGTAGTTTATGGTCAGTGTACTCTATAATACGCCACCTTGGTTGTTTATGGCCAGTGTACTCTATAATACGTTACCTTGGTAGTTTATGGTCTGTGTACTCTATAATACGCTACCTTGGTAGTTTATGGTCTGTCTACTCTATAATATGTTACCTTGGTAGTTTATGGTCGGTGTACTCTATAATACATACGCCACCTTTGTAGTTTATGGTCAGTGTACTCTATAATACGCCACCTTGGTAGTTTATGGCCAGTGTACTCTATAATACGCCACCTTGGTAGCTTATGGCCAGTGTACTTTAAATACGTCACCTTGGTAGTTAATGGTCAGTGTACTCTATAATACATCAACTTGGTAGTTTACGGCCAGTGTACTCTATAATACGCCACCTTGATAGTTTACGGCCAGTGTACTCTAAAATACGCCAACTTGGTAGTTTATGTCCAGTGTACTCTATAATACGTCACCTTGGTAGTTTCTGGTCAGTGTACTCTATAATACGTCACCTTGGTAATTTATGACCAGTGTTCTCTGTAATACGTTACCTTGGTAGTTTATGGCCAGTTTACTCTATAATACGTCACCTTGGTTGTTTATGGCCAGTGTTCTCTATAATACGTTATCTTGGTAGTTTATGGCCAGTGTACTCTATAATACTTTACCTTGGTAGTTTATGGTCGGTGTATTCTATAATACGTTAGCTTGGTAATTTATGGTCTGTGTACACTATAATACGTTACCTTTGTAGTTTATGGTCGGTGTACTCTATAATACGTCACCTTGGTTGTTTATGGCCAGTGTACTCTATAATACGTCACCTTGGTAGTTTTTGGTCTGTGTACTCTATAATACGCTACCTTGGTAGTTTATGGCCAGTGTACTCTATAATACGTTACCTTGGTAGTTTATGCTGGTCGGTGTACTTTATAATACGTTACCGTGGTAGTTTATGGTCAGTGTACTCTATAATACGTTACCTTTGTAGTTTATGGTCGGTGTACTCTATAATACGTTACCTTGGTAGTTTATGGTCGTTGTACTCTATAATACGTTACCTTGGTAGTTTATGGTCGGTGTACTCTAATACGTTACCTTGGTAGGTTATGGTCGGTGTACTCTATAATACGTTACCTTGGTAGTTTATTGTCGGTGTACTCTATAATACGTCACCTTGGTTTTTATGGCCAGTGTACTCTAAAATACGTTACCTTGGTAGTTTATGGTCGGTGTACTCTATAATACGTCAGCTTGGTTGTTTATGGCCAGTGTACTCTGTAATACGCCACCTTGGTAGTTTATGGCCAGTGTACTCTGTAATACGTTACCTTGGTAGTTTATGGTCAGTGTACTCTATAATACGTCACCTTGGTAGTTTATGGTCAGTGTACTCTATAATACGTTTCCTTGGTAGTTTATGGTCGGTGTACTCTATAATACGTCACCTTGGTAGTTTATGGTCGGTGTACTATAATACGTTAGCTTGGTAATTTATGGTCTGTGTACACTATAATACGTTACCTTGGTAGTTTATGGTCGGTGTACTCTATAATACGTCACCTTGGTAGTTTATGGTCGGTGTACTTTATAATACGTCACCTTGGTTGTTTACCTCCAGTACAGAACGAAATGTTGCAATCGGAAAAGACACCCATTGAAAGGCAATATATGGACAATAATAATTTATTTCCGTAATATTTTTCTAAAAACAAAAATTTATTTTTAAATCGTTCTTCACGAATTGTTCTGAGACTGGGAAGAACAAGCGTAGAATTTTAGTTGTTTGTGGATTTCGTAAATAATCAAATATTTTTTGTCCAGAAACATCGAATAGAAATAAAGTGTTCATTATGTAGTCAGTGTTATATACTAAACCCTTTCCTATATCTTTCTAAACCTCTCTATTGAAAATACTATTTGCTTCCTTCCTTCTGTATATTATTCACTCTTGATGTATTGGAGTAAAGTTCGAAATGTAATGGAATATTTACTGGAAACAGATTTTACACATTTTCGTGGCCATAGAAACTCTAAAATCTCTGTTTGGATAAGAAAAGGCTATTGAGAAAGGAAAATCTGGGTAAAAAATAAAAATGGTAAATTTTTGAATATGTTTTTCACAATCTGTTGGCCAGTCAACTAGATAATTTGGCATTGTGGGTGCATTGGATGATAGCTATAATAATGCACAGTTTTTGAATTTCTTCTTGTATAAATGAGATGTTCTCCTCCTGCTCCAAACTTCTAAATAATTAATCTTCTTGATAATCCCTCTCAGTGTTAACCATAGTGTACATCTAGATAATCTATATAATTAATACAGAATCCTCTCATAATCAAATCATTTCCGCGCACTCGAAAGCACACGCCTTATAACTTGAACTATTATTAAACAATTATAAACCGTTTCATACTTTTAGGATAGTCCTGAACCCTTGATCGTCCTAGCTTTGAGAATTATTGATATGAAAGTATTTATTCTAATGTTTACCATGAAAACATAAATTTCATTTAAGAATAAGAATCGAGTTAAATTTACATTTATTGTGTCAAGAAATAAAAGTTAAAATACGTTTTCACTGTTCTGTATTTAGCTCCTTGGTTCATTTATATAAAAGATATTTCTCTTCTATTGTCACTGTGTAATGGAGTGAATACTCCAGATTTTTATGAAGTTCTTCTGTTCTTGAAAGTGGTTCTTTGTGTCTCCAATTCCATTTAGACGTGTGGTTGGTAAATCTTTAGTTTTCTAGGTGTCTAGCACACCTGCTAGAGCTCAGTGTTTCACCACTCAGCCAGTAATAATTAATATCCAGGTTTAGATCTATCATAATCCATGCTCAGAGTAGAGGGTTTACTAGAAACCTTGAGAATAATGCATCTTAGAAACTTTTGTCTGAACCTTAATAGACGAGGGAGGGGTACAGAGCCTCCATGAGCCCAGCGAAATTACCTCCGGAGCCTCCTGATACCATGGATGACCTCCAAGCCCAGCATAACTGTCTCCGCACCTCTCGCTATACGTCTCCCAGCCTCCGTTCCACATTTGGTCTCCAATGAAAGATATTTGGCTTTTACATTCACAAAAAAAAAAATTTTTCAAATAATCTCAACACGATAAAATAGTTTTTAATGATATATAAACTATTTGCATTGAAAAGTCTCTGTCAATTGAGATTAAAACTTATATTTTTGTTTTCTAAATTTCACAAATTCTATAACTTGGAAATGTTTCCTTGGTAGTTTATGGTCGGTGTACTCTATAATACGTCACCTTGGTAGTTTATGGTCGGTGTACTTTATAATACGTATCACAAGATACAGACTCTATCATCTGAAATCATAAAAACTATAATAGGTCGAACAAAAAGTGCATCAATAAATAGATAAAAAGACTGGGTGCAGGAAACAAGGTGAAATATGACAAAAAGTTCCAATATAGGGCTAGCACCACTACCGCGAGGGCGGGAAGGCACACTATTTCTTCCGTCCGCATCACAAACGACGTCACAGCTAACCATTATTTCTTCCGGACACATCATTTTTTCGTCTGGGCGTTAATTCTGTGCTTTCAACTATACTTTTGTATGTCTTATAATTCGTTTTTTTCAAGTTTAGGTAACGTCATGTTGTTCAGTATGAATTGATTTGGTTTAAAATATATTTTGTTTGAAAAAATAAAACGATTTTTCATCCCAATTTAACTCGTAAACTACAACTTTTAGGTAATATTAGGCTGGGAGTTTTAGAATCTGCAACTAAAAATTTACATTTTTTAGTTGGGAACATGGCAGTTGGTTTTTAACGAAAATTTAAGTTAGTCTTCTTAAAAAAACAGAATAAATATTTTAAACTATTATAAACAACATCATTTGGGTCAAAATTTGAATAAAATTATAAAAAGCACTTTAAACAAAAATTTAAATAATGCCGGAAGAAATAATGATGATATTTATGTCATTTGTGGTCGGACAAAAAATGGTGTTGTGTGCCTTCCCTCTCACCTACAGAAAATGGTTCGGCTAACTTGTTTATGTCTAGATAAGCTGGTTTAGGAATGTTTATGTCTAGATAAGCTGGTTTAAGAATGTTTATGTCTACATAAGTTGGTTTAGGAATGTTTATGTCTAGATAAGCTGGTTACTCTTGATGTAATCGAACGCATCACTAAGTTTACCAGTAGGAAATAGAAGTTTGCCAAGGAATTTTTGCTCTTCTTGAAATATATAAGTTTAACGATAAGATAGTTTTTAATGATATATAAACTATTTGCATTGAAAAGTCTCTTTCAATTGAGATTAAAACTTATATTTTTGTTTTCTAAATTTCACAAATTCTATAACTTGGAAATAACTATTGTTGTTTTATATAAAGATAGTGAAATTTATATTATTTGACAGGTGTTTCATATAAGAATCAAACTATATGAGCACCAATTCACAAAACAAATTAGTTTTTGTGAAATACTTGAATTTGTGCTTTTATCATAAGCTTTGTGTACACTTTTCACAAGAAAACAAGTTATAATCAATTAATGAAACTATTGTGGATTCTTCTATGAAGAGATATATTTTAATTTATGGTTGGTTAAGCCAAAAAGGTAAATAAAAAATAAATACAGCGAGCGGAAATTAAAATGCAGGCGTGGAGACAGAACGGCAGAGGTTTGGAGACGTAGCGAGAGGCAAAGAGGCTCGAGGTCATTTGTTCAGGACTCATGGCGGCTCTGCATCCCCTCCCTCCATAGACCTTTTATAAAACAACCCTTTATACAACCCTCATACAACCCTCATACAACCCTCATACAACCTTCATACAACTCTCATACAACCCTCATGCAACCCTCATACAAACCTCATACAACTCTCATATAACTCTCATACAACCCTCATACAACCCTCATACAACCCACATACAACCCTCATACAACCCTCATACAACCCTCATACAACCCTCATACAACCCTCATACAACCTCCATACAACTCTCATACAACTCTCTTGCAACCCCCATACAAACCACATACAACCCTCAAACAACTCTCATACAACTCTCATACAAACCACATACAACCCTCATACAACCCTCATACAACCCTCATACAACCCTCATACAATCTTCATAAACCCTCATACAACCCTCATGCAACCCTCATACAACCCTCATGCAACCCTCATGCAACCCTCATACAACCCTCATACAACCCTCATGCAACCCTCATAAAACTCTCATACAACCTTCATACAACTCTAATACAACCCTCATACAACTCTAATACAACCCTCATACAACTCTCATAAAACTCTCATACAACCCTCATGCAACCCTCATACAACTCTCATACAACTCTAATACAACCCTCATACAACTCTCATACAACCCTCATGCAACCCTCATACAATTCTCATACAACTCTCATACAACCCTCATACAACTCTCATACAACTCTAATACAACTCTCATACAACCCTCATACAACTCTAACACAACCCTTATACAACTCTCATACAACCCTCATACAACTCTCATACAACCCTCATACAACTCTAATACAACCCTCAAACAACTCTCATACAACTCTCATACAATCCTCATGCAACCCTCATACAACTCTCATACAACCCTCATACAACCCTCATACAACTCTCATACAACTCTCATACAACTGTCATACAACCCTCATACAACTCTAACACAACCCTTATACAACTCTCATACAACCCTCATACAACTCTCATACAACCCTCATACAACTCTAATACAACCCTCAAACAACTCTCATACAACTCTCATACAATCCTCATGCAACCCTCATACAACTCTCATACAACCCTCATAAAACCCTCATAAAACCCTCATACAACTCTCATACAACCCTCATACAACTCTCATACAACTCTCATACAACCCTCATACAACTCTCATACAACGCTCATACAACTCTCATATATCTCTCATACAATCCTTATACAACCCTTATACATATACCCTTCATACAACCCTCATACGACCCTCATAGATCATTTATACAACCCTCATACAACCCCCATTGATAAAAAGATAATAATTGGCGTATGGTAAAAGTATGAATGATATATGTATATTATTGTATATGTTATGTATGGGTGAAATGAATAAATTTAAACTAACCTTAAATTTTCTGTAATGGTTTTCTTGTAAAAGGTTAAATGACCGACAATTTAAAGTTTAAAACTTTTAAAGTTTAACCGAATATTAACCAGAGTTCTGGATACTTTAGGGATTCCAGAGTTCTAAATACTCCAGGGAGTCCACAGTTCTAGATACTCAGGGATTCCAGAGTTGTATATACTCCAGGGATTCCAGAGTTCTTGATACTCCAGGGATTCCAGAGTTCTTGATACTCCAGGGATTCCAGAGTTCTTGATACTCCAGGGAGTCCAGAGTTATAGATACTCAGGGAGTCCAGAGTTCTAAATAATCCAAGGAGTCCAGAGTTCTAGATACTTTAGGGATTCCATAGTTCTAGATACTCGGGGAGTCCAGAGTTCTAGATACTTTACGGATTCCAGATTTATATATACTCCAGGGATTCCAGAGTTCTTGATACTCCAGGGAGTCCAGAGTTATAGATACTCAGGAAGTCCAGAGTTATAGATACTCCAGGGAGTGCAGAGTTATAGATACTCAGGGATTCTAGAGTTCTGGATACTCCAGGGATTTCAGAGTTCTAGATACTCCAGGGATTCCAGAGTTCTAGACACTCAAGGGATTCCGGAGTTCTTTATACTCCAGGGAGTCCAGAGTTTTAGATACTCATGGAGTTCAGACTCCAGAGTTCTAGACATTCAGGAATTCGGTCTAAATACTCTCGGGAGTCCAGAGTTTAAGACACTCAGGGGGTCCAGCGTTCTAAATATTAAGGAAGTTTAGAGTTCTCAATACTCAGGGAGTCCAGAGTTCTATATTAGCATGGAATCCTTGAATGTAGCTACAAATAATATCATTATTATTTCTGTTTTTCTAGAAGCATATGCTGAGATTACTGGTGGAAAAGAGAAGGTTTTCAAATCAGGTTCAAGAATGCAGTTAACTTGTACAATACGAGATATTACAAGACCTCCCAGCTACATTTTCTGGTAAATATACCTGCCTAGTCTACCTAGTCTACCTAGTCTACCTAGTCTACCTAGTCTACCTAGTCTACCTAGTCTCCCTAGTCTACCTAGTCTACCTAGTCTACCTAGTCTACCTAGTCTACCTAGTCTACCTAGTCTACCTAGTCTACCTAGTCTACCTAGTCTACCTAGTCTACCTAGTCTACCTAGTCTTCCTAGTCTACCTAGTCTACCTAGTCTACCTAGTCTTACTAGTCTAACTAGTCTAACTAGTCTAACTAGTCTTACTAGTCTACCTAGTCTATCTAGTCTACCTAGTCTACCTAGTCTACCTAGTCTACCTAGTCTACCAGTTCTAAAAGTCATAAAGAACTTTAAAATCGCGGCATTCATATTGCATTTATCAATTCTTGTTCGTTCAAAATTCATCATATTTAATAAAATCAAAATTTTCATAAATGAAATTATTTTCTTTTGAAAGCACTCAACGGAAAGAAACTCATATGCCTGAACAGTTAAAAAAGGAAATATTTGCCCTGATTAAGGTCCCTAAAGAAAATATAACTATATAATATCAATCCATAGGATATATATATCATATTAATTTGCACAGTCAGAAAACACAAAATATCCCTAGTCCTACCATTTCCCAAATGTGGTCTGCGTTTTTCGTGCGTTCAAAATTCATCATATTTAATCAACGAGGTTATAGTATACAGAGTAATGATGTACGCTAATTCTTTACTGATTGTACAGGACATGTACTCCACTTCCAAAGGTTAATCTGTATATTACAGTACTCGGGGGTGATTTCTGAAAATATTTATTTTCGCTTAAGCAAAAAAAGGTTTTTAATCAAAAAAACTCTGGGCTACATGGATCTCGGTAATTTATATAGCTAAAAAATATTTTCTTTATTTTCATTTTCACTTCTAAAGGATTGAATATTTTTGGTACGCAGTTTTCAGTGCATCCTGGAGATCTTCCACAGTTTTTTCAAGTTTTTTTTTAACGTTTTTGAAGGTTGGAACATTTCTCACTGTATTTCATTCCCATTTCCGCACTATCTTGGAGAAGTTGAATAGTTTCTTGAGAAGATGGCAGGGCATAATTATGGTCTTTCTTTATCACTTGGACATGAAAATATGTAGGTACAGCTAACTCTGCGGGTACAGCATTCTTCCATAACTTTTTACCATAGATACTCCTATAGCATTTATTTTCAAAATAACGACTGCGTATCCGGCTAGGAGAATTTGTTTTCCATTTGACTATTGCAATCCACCGCTGCTCTTTTATCGTGTGCAGGAATTTGTATTTGAAAATATTTAAATTTTAGAATTTGAAATTAAAAATTCTCCCTTATTAGTAAAACAGAAAAAGCATATGAGTTGAATAAGTTTATGTATGTATGATCAATTCTTAATTCAATCAGAGAGATAAAAGGAGTTTATGTAGTAAAACTAGTTCGAACACATTGCGGCCTACCTTTCATGACAATACCAGTAGAGTGCAACATGTCAACTTTTGAATTTAACTGTGGCAATTATTCTTTAGCCTATTTTAACAAGTAAATTCTCAAAACAAAAAAGGATACGGTTTAATTATTGAAAACTGGAGATATTAAGAATCTCGTTAAGATTTTTATTTAATTTTGATTACAAACACAAAATTTTGAAATCATCTAATAAATGAGAATTTTTAAAATGTCCTAAACCTTTTTTATCCACACAATGTCATTGAAGTCATCTTAAAACGATTTTGTTTATTGGGACACCCTGTAGAATACAAATTTATTGGGACACCCTGTAGAATACACATTTATTTGGACACCCTGTAGAATAAACATTTATTGGGACACCCTTTAGAATAAACATTTATTGGGACACCCTCTAGAATAAACATTTATTGGGACACCCTTTAAAATAAACATTTATTGGGACACCCTGTAAAATAAACATTTATTGGGACACCCTTTAAAATAAACATTTATTGGGACACCCTGTAGAATAAACATTGCATGTTTCTGCAGTTCTGGAATTCGTCCACAACCTAATAATATTATTCTGCCTTATTATTATAATTAATGCATTTGTTGTTAATTTTATTTTAATGGAATCATTAGAACCATGAATAATGAATATTCAACAACTTAATACAATACAATACTATTCTAACCAGGACATTAAATCCTTATACATTTGAAAAGAAAAATAAGAGTAAACAAAAATAAAAGTAAACAAAAATTAAAATAACAAAAATTCTAAGATTACCTTTTTATTGACACCATTCAATTTATTTCAACAAAAATTATTTAATTTAAGGACAATATGATAACAGTTTAATGAAACAATTTAGTTAATTTAGATTCAATGTTTAGAATTTAGACTTTCATGCATTTTTTGAAGTTTTTAAGAAATAGGCAAACTCATATGCTGGGAGGGGTCCTTTACTATAATTTTAATTGAGTGTTATTTTTATCTTTAAAAATATGTTGTAAAATAAAAAACGCTTTACATATATTGAATGTGTTTAGTACTAAATCATTTTTGGGCGTTTTAAATGTATACAAATTTTCAAATCTTCTAATCCCTATGTTTTTGCTACCAGATGGTTTTAACCTTTGATATCTGAAACTTAGACAATTTGACCTAACAGAATTCATGGATTGAAATATCAAAGGTCTAAGATATCTGGTTGCAAAGATTAAGGAATTAAAAAAAAACTGATTTTGTGGCAAAAACGTATACTTTAGTTTTAATCATAACTTTTCCCTTGTATTCATGATTCGATAGTACACTCTGACTGATCTATTTTTTTGGCAAATTGCACCTTTAACCCTTATTCCTTTAATAATTTAGTACATTGCAAAAATAGCTATAGCGAGAGAATTGAGCATTGTTGCAGCTAAAAGGATGCTTGAAGTTGCAACCAAGTTTACATGATCCAAGTATACATCAATACATCAATACAAAGCATATCAATTATTCTCTCCTAAATTGCAGTTTAGAAAATACAATGCATGGATGGAAACCCAATAATATTCAATAAATTGATATTCAAGTAAACAAAAGTCTATCATTTAAGTCTTGATATTCATAATGCAAAGAAAGACGTATACACTATACTTGTACCCGTCACCGTTATAAAATGTGTACCCTAGGTGATTTAACTTTAGTGATTTGTACTTTAGGTAACAAAACTAAAAGAATTAGTACCCTAGGTACCATAACTATAAATATCTGTACTCTAGGTACCAAAACTAGTAATATATGTATTCTATGTACTATAACTATTAATATCTGTACCCTAGGTACCATAACTATAAATATCTGTACTCTAGGTACCAAAACTATTAATATATGTATTCTATGTACTATAACTATTAATATATGTATTCTATGTACTATAACTATTAATATCTGTAACCTAGGTACCATAACTATAAATATCTGTACTCTAGGTAACATAATAGTTATATCTGTACTCTAGGTACCATTTCTATTAATATCTGTACTCTAGGCACCATAGCTATTGATATATCTGTACTCTAGGTAACATACTAGTTATATCTGTACTCTAGGTACCATTTCTATTAATATCTGTACTCTAGGTACCATAACTATTAATACATATACTCTAGGTACCATAACTATTGATATCTGTACTCTAGGTACCATAACTATTAATATATCTGTGCTCTAGGTAACATACTAGTTATATCTGTACTCTAGGTAACATACTATTAATATCTGTACTCTAGTAACCATTACTATTAATATCTGTACTCTAGGTACCATTACTATTAATATCTGTTCTCTAGGTACCATTACTATTAATATCTGTACTCTAGGTACCATAACTCCCGTATGATAAACTATGATGAGGAGCGGGGTATATCTGTTGGTGTATCCCAGCTGCACAGTAGAACCCTGATATCTCAGCTGACCCTACACAACCTGCAGGTGGAGCAGAGTGGGAACTATACCTGTTCTCCAAGCTCGGTTAGTTTATCTTCATACAGTGGGAACTAGAAACTATGGAATAGTAAGACGACATTTAAAGGGAGTGTTCGCGAAAAATTAAAGGGGGTATAGGCTTAATGCGATAAAAAAGCGCTTTTGATCGCTACTAATCTTACTTCTAGCTGTTTCGTCTATAAGGAGAAAATTGTTAAAAACGATTAATACCGAAGAACGTAGTGTACATACAAATTCAGAGAGATGCAACATACGACTTAGACCGTAAAAAAATCTAATTAATTTCAAACAAATCATTCAGATATTACAACCTATAGTCATCGATAAACGCAACAGATAGAAGTGAGATTAGTAGCGATCAAAAGCGCTTTTTTATCGCATTAAGTCTATACCCCCTTTCATTTTTCACGAACACTCCCTTTAAGCAATCTTGTAAGAATTTAATGTTGTTATCAAGCAAATAATTTGAACAGTTGCCTAAAAATTAACTTATTGGTTGAGATCAGTGTACACTGCAAACTTCACATATTATATGTATGTTTCAAGTGCATTGCACTATCTTAAATGATTAATTAGGTCTTACCTCAGTTGCGGGTAGGCATCAGTACGGTTAGGTAATAGTAATTCAGTACTCAGCTCTGCTCTAAGTAGTCGGAGAAAGGATGCAGCAGGGGAGTGCTGTGGAAAATTAGCATGGCAGCACCACATCTCAAAAACATCAGAAACAAGAAAAATAGAAAGAAGAATCCTGTGAGGTTGGTAACCAAGCAATATGATGTCGGCTTTTTACTCTTCCAGCTGTAATACTCAGTCGACTATGAAGAACGGATACTGTTGACAATGCCAATGGGTAACCCTAAATACTGCAGAACTCGGAAAGAGTATAAATTTGGGAGAAAACAGGGTTCCTTCCTTAGGGGAGTCCCTCGATACCCTCCTTTCCTAACTACTCCAAATTTCCTTCTCCTATTTATCACAAACAACATTTGGAATTGATTTCTTAGTGGACGAATGTTGTTGGATCCATCATTAAGACCTCTAGGCGGAACATAGGACTTGGACACAAAACTCAATGTATAGAATGAAACTCAAAGGAACAATTGCAAAAACCCTTTTTATTCCACCTTGTCCCTCTACCTTGCTTCTGACCTTAAGACAGCCTGATCAACTGTGTGCAAGGTCAGACATTTCCAGTTGTGCAACAAGAAAACTAAAGATTCAGCAAAACTGCAAAACAGAACACACTCAAATGATTACAATGAGCAGAGTGTCCCAAAAATTCTGGTTTCGACAAATTTTCGTTTTTTCTTCAAAATTATTAAGGGCAGTCAACAGAAGAGGAAAAAGTTAGAAAGGATGACAAGAAGATGAAGCAAATCAGAATTTTACTGTATCAACTGTATCCATATTTATAAAATCAAAAATTAATATAATAAATTGTTAAAAACTTAGGTCTTACAGTGGTCTTTTTAATCCACAGTTTAAATGTATCCACTGTAAATTATTTGTATACAATATACTTATTGTACACTCTCTGGCTGTTTTAGTTTCTCTGAAAAAAAGATGTCCAAGAATAGAATAAAAAAATGAGTTTTTATGTTCTTTAATTAAAAATTTGCATAATTTAAAAAAAGAATATATTACAGCCAATCTCACAAAAATAAATACATAGCAAGAGCGATCGAAATGTCGTCTTGTTATTTATTTTTAAAAGTATGACAGCTGTAAAGCTTCATCATTGGTCTGCACAAAAAGAAAGCTGCTGAGATGTTGGCAGCTTCAAAGGGTTGAATATGATTCATGAAATTATATCCAAATATAAATGTAGTTTTTTGATAATTCTGAAGAAACTGGTGTTTATTCTTAATTCAAGGTAAATAAATAGCCCTGAAATATGAAGGACAGCAATGATATATTAAATTCGTTTTTCCGTGGCATTTGTTCTTAAATATGTTGAGAATACGACATTGTAAAAAATTCTTGCTATGTATTCATATATCTGGGATTCACTGTATGTAAACAACAAAATTATGAATATGCGAGCTTTGGGTTTTCTGTTTAGGTTCGCCCTGACACTGTGAGTGTGAGGGTTGAGGCCAGAGGAGAGGGTCAACCTGAACCTGTTCTAAACTCAGGAACTTATATTATTCTTTATAAAATCATTTATTTAGGAAAACGGAGGGGTAAACATAACTCATAATGATTATTTGATTTTTTGATGTGAGCTCAGGGACCAAATGCAATGAAAGTAAGTTCGTTCGCTGAGCCACTTACCATTGGTTTATATTTTCAAAAACCGATTAAAAGTTAAAGATTTATGAGAATTTAAATCGGTGGTATGATAGTTCAGCAATCTCTCCAATTCATTTAGTTCTGTCCCAGAAACCATTTGAACTACGTAGACGTAACTGAACTAATTCTCTTGATAGTCCACCAGTTCAAGTTGAAGAGAAGTGGTTCAACTTAGACTATAATGTGGTTCAACTTAATTTGTATTTGGTCAATGATCATTTTCTTTAAAAAAGAAGCAAAACATTCACCTATCTTATATATCTACTTTATACACCCTTTCCTTAGTTTTCCTCCTTAGTTTAATAACAATGCACAGGGGTGTATTCAGTAATTTGTCCAGGGGGGGCTTGATTTTTTTCTTTCCAGCGGGGTGCTCAGAACCCGTTGAAGCCTGAAATCAATAGATTTCACTGGTCCAAGGGGGGCTTAGCCCCCATAACCCCCCCCCCCTGATTACGCCTCTGAGTCAAAGCAAGTTCATGTAATATCTGCCAAATGAATTTAAGTTTGAATAAGAATGATATTTGCAGGAGGGTATTCAGAGCAAGGTCAGAAACCTTCTGTTGTCAGTTTATTCATATTTATTTTGCAAAAAATCTTTAAATTTTAACTTTAGATTATTATTTTTATAAACCATATACATTCATTATTATTGAAATTGCAGAATCAAACTTTGTCAAGTTTTTGTCTTACACATTTTTTGTTGCAATTTTAGATGGGGGGGGGGGGG